AAGAAACTCATTTGTGTGATTCTCATTTTTTTCTGAAAAGATTTGATCCAAGATGGCACAAGTGTTGGATGCATAGAGGTAACAGGTTGGAGGATATTGAGCTCTAATTTTTGATTGGAGCAAAGATTAATATTGTGTATAAACTGCAGGCACTGTGCTAATTGCTGTGTGTGACACCATGAACATCAACTTCTCCCCACAGCAGTTATGTCTTCATCACAGCCTTTGCTTCAGTTTTGGTGGTGTTGGTTGTTTTTCAAAGTTTGAGACATGCATGTGTACACAAGCAAGTGGAGTTAATAGATAAACTATTTTCACAGGTAATTTTTAGGCATCATAACTGGCCTAGACTTTCATCAAGATGAGTATTTTAAATAGGAGAAAAATCTCCATCCATGATCTAAATAAATACAAATGGCACTCCAAACCACAATATATGTACATAGAGGATTAATTCTTTTCAGTGCACTGGGAGGCAGTAGTAGCAATGTTCAATCCAAATAACTATTGGCACCAATTTTATGTTGTGTTTAGCAAATACAGATTTTTATATTGTGACCAATGATGGGGGATATGTCACAAAGCAGGATTTTGCATTTGCATCTACTCTTTTTTCTTGAGAGATTCTCATTATTTAATACTTGTTACAGCAAATCATTGCAGATCTGCTGGCACTGTCAGGTATGATAAACTCAATGTGTGCATAATGCTGGGCTGTAGCAGGAAGCACCACATTCCAAAATCTCTGCAGGCATCTGCATCCTCCACCAAATGCCAGATATATGAAGACATGTGCTTTTAAAAAATATTTTTATTTCAATTAGACAGTTAATGCAAAGTTATCTACAGTTATTGTGGAGAGAGCACAAATAATCCTGTGCTGTAAACTAGGATTCTTTATCCCAGAAATGTTAAGTGATCTGCTAGTGAAAGTTCTAAAAAAATGTGCAATTAGTGGTTTTGCCTCCGGTGGAGTACCAGAGCTCCTGTCACAAATATACTTGATGTTCCAGATCCTACAAAAAATTATTTTGTCCCAGTTACTGCATGGTCAGTGCATCCACCTGATGTGCACTGGGCACTTGGTGCATTTAAATGTGTCTGGGTGCTGATCCCACAGGCACCCACGTGAGTTTTATTTGTTTTATTTGCTAGCAGAAAGGATTGCTGTAGTACAGAGGTGTTCACTCATCAGTGCCTGGTCTGGAGCTGGCTCCACGTTTCCCCACACAGCTCCAGGATCCCTGGCTGTCCCAGGTGCCACCCAGCTGGAGCTCACTGTGTCACGGCTCTGTCGGCCACCAGCATCCCACAGCCCAGAGGATGCTGGCTGCCAGTCAGCAAGGACTCTTTACAGCTGAAGTGCTTTAAATCACTGGTTGTGCTCATGATTCAAGTGATAAACAAGGAAATTTGAATTAAATAATTTGAACTTTTCCTAAGTGAGAGCTCATTGCCGTTGATTAAGAAGAGTAATACAAAACACATGGCTTGCAGCTAGTCACACGCTTGTAAAATTTGGCATGGTTGTATATTAACCAGAAAGTGATACTGTATCTAACACAGCTGTGAAGCACTTAGTTAGCTCGAGAATCTTGTGGTTTGCTTTTTATATTCTTTGGAAAAGGTTAATGACATAAAGGAGAGTGGTTGTTTTTTGCTTGAGATTTCGCTCTTATGAAGCAAGGACAGAAATTAAAGGTCAACTAAAATTTGTAAAACCATGACTTGAAAATTGCAATTATATTTATAAAACATGCTTGCCAGATTTAGTAATGAAGAAAGCATTTTCTGTATTAAATGATATTACTAGGTAAAGAATTATTAGATGTGATTTTCTACTTTTCCTGTTCGACTTTTCAAGCCGCTTTACTCTGAGCAGTGGACGTTAGTAGTGTCAAATTGATTTTTAAACAGTCAGGGTTTTTTAAAGAGCATTTAATCAATCATTAACAACTTTGGTTAAAATTAATGAGATTTTAAATATTCATAAATTCTCTTTGCCTTCATGTGTGGGTCCAAGCCCGGCTGGCAGTGCTGCTGCTCCTGCCTCCCCAGGCAAGCTGGCAGCTCACGGAAGGACCAGCTCACAGGGCTCCAGCCATGCAGAATGTGCTGCTGCAGGCTCCAGTCAGCATTGCTGTTGTTTTATCATAAAAGCTGATAAATCTCTGATAAAACGAGAAGGAAAGGAACCCTGGGAAACGAAGTCATTCCTCTACCAGTAAAGTGCTTTCTTGAATGTGGAAAAGTTACAAGTAAGACAGAATAATCATTCTCAATTTGGAGCTCTGTAGGGCCGTGGGTAAGGGTTTTAAAAGTACCTAATTTAGCATTTCACGTGGAAGTTGAGTGCCACAGTTTCACAGTTGCCTGTGTGTGCTTCAGTGGTCAGAGGAGTTTGGGCTGCAGTGCACATTCCCCCCGTGCTGTGTCTGGAGTTTGTCAGTGCAGGTGGCTTTGCCATCCTGCTGTGGTGTGTGGGAACGTGGTGGCTCCTGCTGCTGGATCATGGGCTCTTTGGGCTCCTTGGGGCACAGAACTGCATCTTCTTTTTTAATTATTATAAGGCAACACCAGGAAATCCAGGAGGTTGTGTTCTGGGGGTGCTTCCTCTTCTTTAGGGCATCAGAAATTCAGTCTGGGGGCTTTGCTGACCTGTAGAGCCACCTGTGGCAGGATGGCCAGGGGCACGTGGAGCATCCAACTGGCCCTTCCAAATCTGAATCCCAACTAAAGGTCAACAGATCAGCTACCTCAAATGATTTAAAATGTTTAAGTTTGCACATTGCATTTTCTCCTTTTTAATAATTCATCAACTAGCACGCTGTCACTGTGACACAAAGACAAAATGCTGATGGGCTTTTTTGTTGTTGATGATCTTAGGATTAGAAACAGAGGTTTTGTCTTTACTTTTTAACGAAAGAATGAATGAACAGATGGATATTTGCAGCCCTGAGCTTCACTATCAATTGATTTATCCACTTGGATGTATGTATACAGCTCCTGTTTCAACAGTAGCAGCTTCAGTCCAGATTCCTGAACAAATAGATATTTGTGGGGCCTTTGCCTTCATTCTACTTCTGTTGTCTCCAGATTTACTTTATGTGCTTACTGCCCCTGCTGCAGCGCAGCCAGGCGTAGTTTTAACAGTGTTTTCTGGTGTAGTTAAGATAATGTAAGAGAATTAAAGTTGTTTGTGGAATAGGTTTTTATGGAGGAAAATTCCTAACCCATTTAGATTACAATATTAGGTCGTGCTACCTTGGTTTTAGTAGAGTCAACTGAAAATACAGAAGTTTTTAAAGGCGAAAAAATTCCAAAATAATTTTTCACTCAAGGAATATACATTTTTAAAGACTGTAAACAGCTTGGGGAAAACTTCCCCTCCATGAATTTGTTATTATAGACAGACTCCATGGCCTCTGTAGGTGTTACAATGCTAATCCTGTGTAATGGATAAGGAAAGTATTTAAAATGTTAAGGAAACCTGCCCCTTCTTTCCACCCAGCTGAGGATGGCATCGATATTGGCCTGTGAAATGAGAGCTGGGTTCAGCAAGTTACTGATAAGGGAGAGCTGAAGCAAATGCTACTCTTTGACAGCTGTAATATGACAGTCCCATTGTCATTTCAATTTATTTTGAGTAAGTATTTTACATGGTTCAGCACAGCTGTCTGTCCAGAAACCTGCAAGCCCCTGGAAAAATGTAGAACTTTGTGTAAGTCTTGCAAGGAGAAAACCACTCTTTCATTTTCTCCCTCCTGAGGTCTTGCTGGACTTTGCAAGTTTACTTCATCTTTCCTGAGCTAATTGTACTCTTAAATCACTTCATCTGTTTGATATTTGCAAATTTACTCCCCTCGATTTTAATTTAAATTTCTGGGTGGTAGCTCCATTGTAGTACCATTGGTTTTGGATCCTGTCATAGTTCTGTCAATTACCTGTTCATGATGTGATATTTTGGATGGGACAAGAATATATTGAATGGTACACTTGATATAAAACGTTATATAATGTGGCTTTTAAAAACCAAAAGCATGAAAATGTGTGTAACCACTCAGTAGAGCTTGCTTTGCAGTTCACATCTACTGCTAAACTTGGATTAAAGGTATGGTTGGTGGTGAATTTAGTTTTATGGCATTTAAGAAAGGCTTAATCCTGATCTTTAACCGAGATGACTTTGTAAGTATCACATTTGGTTCATTTGGTCCTGAGTCTTCTCTGCTTTTCTGTGTGCTTTGCTTGGTCACACACTGAGGGTAAAACAAAGCCCCTCCATTGTGTGCACAGGCTCATTGAGGAGAAGCAGCATCCAAGGAAGGCTGGTGGTGAGGAGCAGCGTTCCAGGGTGCTGCATCACTGAGAGCTGAACAGGCAATGTCTGCATCAGCACTGGAGTTTGCTGCTGTTTCTTTTCCCCCCTCACTTCCCAGGCTGATTGACTGGTTTGCATCTAATGAAATTTTCATGCACATCCACAGAACAGTGGGATTCTGAGGAGAGAGATTAATATTTCAGTAATGATACCATGCCTGTATGTCCCTGGAGTCCTTGGTGCACCCATAGAGGAGCCCTGGCTGTAGTAGCAGTTCACAGGAATGTCAGCAGGAGGAAATCCAGCTGGGGCCTTTGCTGCTTTTGGCAAAATATGTGGATGGGGAAAGAAAGAAAGAAAGAATGCATGTGAATGTCCTTTCCTGGAAATATTTTGAGGAATAGATGAGCACTGAGGTAGTTTAACATGGGGAGAAAAAAGCCAGTTGTTTCTTGGGCTATGGCAGTAACTTTAGGGTGCTGAATGTCACTAAGTGGTGCCAAGGAAAGGTACTCAAGGCTGGAGTGTGGCTGGGCAGTGTCACTGCTCTGTCTTTTCTTTTGGGGGGTTGCCAGGTGCCCTCTGCCTTGTGCTTTCAGTGTGCCTGCTCAAGGCCGGGCTCTGGGACGTTTCACCTTCCGCAGACTCACGCATCCATTTCTCCTGTCCCTCCCTATTCCAGAGAACAGCCCATCTTCACCACCAGAGCCCATGTCTTCCAAATTGACCCCAGCACGAAGAAGAACTGGGTTCCTGCAAGCAAGCAGGCTGTAACTGTTTCCTACTTCTATGACAGCACGAGAAACAGCTATCGGATTATCAGTGTGGATGGAGCCAAGGTAGGAGCTGGGGACCCGGCGCGTGTCTGTGAGAGTGGGGGACTGTCAGCCCTGCCTCAGGGGCTGCATTAAATATTATAAACACTCCATTTTGTATATAATCCATCAGGGAGACTTCTAGTGATAACTAGAAAAACACAGGGCGCCCTAAAAGGGATTTTGCCCAGCTTAGTTGATTTTATCTCGGATGAGTTTGACTTCATGGTAAGTGAGCTGAGAACCTTAAGTGTCCAAATTGAGTCAGTAGCATGGTATCTGAAACTGCCACCTATGTCAGGGTAGATAAGGCTGAGGTCTTTTTGGTGATAAACATGTACTTTTTTAAAAAAAACCCAAGGAGACAGATACATGCAGACTATAGGTTTTAATATAAATGTCAGCTGCACTTTCACTTTTGCCTGGCTGAACTATTTACAGTTTAGTAATTAATTTTCTTAAGCTTTCACACTGGAGTTCATCAGCCTTAGGTGACAAGTTAGGCATGAAGGCTCTTCCCCCAACCTATTTTGTTAATTTGTTTTGCATTACCAGAGAGTGTGCTCAAGTATTTGCTGTAAGAATCAAATTGGTTGGTCTGAATAGGTTGCTCAGACAACTGTTTTTATTACAAACTACATTTATCCCTCTGATTAGTCCCTCCAAAGTCGCTTGATGGGTGACAACTTTGCCCTAGCAGACCCCAGTCAGAGATATAAATGAAAACATTTTGCTCATGTACGAAAATCATTGGTCATTTCTGTCAGAGCACAAACCACAGGGTAACAAGATGAGTTTACAGCCTGTTTATCTGTGTTCCTGTTTGGATAAGGATGTTAAAATATCACTGTTCTGGGAGATAGAGATCTCAGAAATCATCCCTTAATAAAGCTTTTCTATTTGTCATGCCTATTTCCCATACTTGTTTTTCCAAACATCTCCTGTGCTATATTTGGTTACATATTGGCTTATAAATCTGCCATACTGCCTGCTTTAATTGATGGTAATGTTTCATTGACACCAGTACAGCATTAATAGCTCCCCATCACGAAGCTGTTTGTGGCAGTGAGTTCATTCCCAGGAATGCTGCAGTGTGCAGCAGGCACACCCAGCCCTTGGGCCCTGCTGGGGAAGCTGAGCCCCCCAGATTTGCTCGTGCTGAGCCTGCTGCTGCTGGGCTGGTGGCTTTGCAAGCCCTGGCAAGTGCAATTTCCAAGCCAAAGCTGCTGCACTCACAGCAGCGGCTCGCTTGATTTGTGGGTGTGCATGCATGCATTAAGACCAATTAATGAAAACAAAGTAATTACTGCATGTGGCGGGGAGCTGCAGGGGCAGCGTGTGGCCACAGCCAGAGGTCCTGCCCAGAACTGCAAAGTGTGTGCACAGAACAAGCTGGGCAGCCAAGCTTTGCTTTGTCACCTGCTCAGAAGACACTCAGAAGGAACATCCCCCCCATTTTGACATGTCCCAGAGGAAGGTGAGCTTGGCATGATTAGAATTCTCCCCTGGGGCTTCCCAAGCAAGAATCAATTGCTGGCCACATAATTTATTCCTCTTGTATTGAATCTTTGCTGATTAAGGAACAGGTCAAGAATAGATGTTACCTTCATGCTCACCTCTGGAGAGTCCCGTGACCCTGCCTGTCCATTTTAAGAGTGCTAATTGGGGAAAAAACCCGGTGTTTATGCCAAAAGAAGTTAAAAGTTGCATTTTTCCCTTCAAACAACTATTGTTTAGTGTTTTGACCTACTTTTCCAGGCAAAAATGAAACTGGGTAGAACTGTAAGGAAGAATATAGACAGCTTCAGATGATGGTGCCCTGCTTTCTGTACATCTCATTAGAATAGTCTTCCATGTGTTGGCAAATACCAGATGGATTAATGTGACAGCATCACTGTGGGCATAAGTTATGTCTGCTTTAAGGACAAAAAAGCTGAAGCTCAAGTAAATGGAGGGACTTTGCCCTAGAAGGAAGGCAGGGATGAAGGATGTGTATCTCTTACAACTCTCCATCCTTGTCTGCTCTGCAAAGGGGCTGTTCTAACAGTTTATTTTAGACAAACATATATGATTCACATTTGCTTGCAGAGGAATTTCAGTTAAATCCGACTTGTATGAAGATATTGGGTTAATTTGCAGTTCTTTTTTTTTACCTTCTGTTGACATTACATACTAATGGTAAAAATATATTGAAGAGATCAAGAATACAGAGTACTTCACTTACATATTGGTCATTACCTGGTTGCATAAGCTTGATTTTCCTTGCAGCACAGAGCATGTCCCCCTGGGCAGTGCTGAGTTGCCAGTGTGTGGAGGAGCCTGGAGCTGCTGGAGCCCCTGGGCTCTGCTGTGGCTTTGGGCAGTGTCACCCCAAAGAGTTCTTCCCTCCTGGTGCAGCTCTGACCTGATGGGCTGTGATCCTGCAGGAGTGGCTTCTTCAGGCAGCTGCTGCTGTCCTCAGAGGTCCAGACCCTGAGCAGTGCCCTGTCCTTCAGTCCCCTCCTCTCTTCTCCCAGCAGGTGCAGCCTGTCCCTATCTCCTCCTTGTCCCTTGTCCCCACAGCCCCGGGGTGCAGGGCAGAGGGGAGCAGAAGGGTTTAGCAGTGGGCTTAAGGGAACTGCTGAGCCCATGTGTTTAAGGTACCCACATTTATTGGTAACTCAGTTTGTGAACCTGGCTGGCAGAGGAGCTGCCTGGCTCTGCTGCCTGATTCAGGGCAACCCTGCCTTTGCCTTACCCCTTGGGGAAGGGGAGGAGAGTCTGGGTGCTGCACATGGAGGTGGTGAGAAATATGGAACAGAAAGAGAGTAGGGCAAAGATAGGAAGCAGAGTGAAGTCAGAGGAGTTTAACTCTTCGTTTGCAGAGGAGTATTCAGGAGTCCAATATGCAGGCCAGCCAGGAGACAGCATTTGCCTGCAGGTGCCAGGTTTCTTTCAAATTCTCCCATCCCAATAACAAATCCATTAAAATACCTGGGGAATGAAGCCCTGCAGAGAGAAAACCCTGGATTCAGCACAGCTTGTACCACTTCAGTTCCTCGTGTTTGCAAAGCTAAAGACAGCAGCTCTTCTCATTCCTGTGTCTTTCACAGAAAAACAGGTGCTGTGGACAGGAGCTTACAATTTATAGCAGAAGATTTCACAGATGCCATATGAGAATGTGCTGTGATCTTAACCAAGATGCCATGACCAAACAAGGGAATAGATCAGTATATCTTTTAATTGCCTTATAATTGACTTGTATGTTGTTAAGCAAGTAATTTCATCATGTTTTAAGAAGTTTCTAGCTAGAGGCTAACTGCAGCATAATGAATGCTGGAAGAAATGATACAGTAAAATGCAAGGGCACACACTGATTCAGAGTTAATGAGGCAGCCAGGAGACTTCACCATATGAAAGTGCCTAGTGTTGTGGACAAAAGTCAGCCCTGTTGAAAGGAGACAAAATATGGTGATGATGCAGGGAGAACATGAAGCTGTAAGTGCCCAGTTGCTGTGCAGTGTGTGGGGAAAGCCACACACAGGGCTTCTCATTAAAAGTGACCTACACTGCCTTGCCTTTTGGAGGCAAAAAGGAAGTTTGGCAGTATGAAAATTATGCAGACCAATAGCCTCTGTCATCCTCAGGAATAATGCATGATAGTACACTGGTTGGTGGGTTTATTTATTTTTTATAAACTGAAATTACGTGTTATCCAAACAGTATAGAGAAGAGGAAAAGGAATTTGAGATGGAAATATAATCCCTCAGAAACAAGCCTCTGCCCTCTTCTCAGATGCTCATGTTGTATTTCTGTAAAACTTGGGATTGCAGCAACATCGTTTTTCTCTTTTGAGAAATGAGCTGTTAATAAGGAACATAAAGCTAGCTTAAAAATTAATAGCCAGCAATAAAGTGCATAGTGAGACATACTGAGCTGGCAGCAGCAAGAGAAGTGACACAGCAAGAGTCATCACAGATGCCAGTCCCCAGTTGTCTCTGAGAGATGATTAAACAGATGACTAGAAAAAAATTAAAATCAGGCTTTAAAAAATTACTACATTGCAAGAGTGATTGTGGAAAATGCATGATAAGGAAATAAAGACTGTGTTTCAGAGGAAAAAGCCAGTCAGCTGACACTCATTCCCAGTTACTAGTTCATTTAAGAATTTTTTACCTGGTAATTACCTCAAATATTGGAGATCAGCAGCTAAGTTGGGCATAAGTGTGTGAAAGTATTGAAGAGAGAACCAGAAAAATTGCTGTGCTGGGAAAGCAAAATCAGTGGGTCTGTTTCTGAAGTAAATTGCAATTAGTAAGAACAAGAATATGGGCCAAATTTTGCCAATCAGTATTCACATGGTGTTCCCCAAAGTGAATACAGTGCATTACATGGTGTGATGAAGCTGTTTGATCAAGTGGCATCTAGCAGGGGACAGTGTGATTTACAGAGGACAATGCAGCTGGCAGGGACACAGCCCCAGCAGCCTGTGGCAGAGATATTTAGGGAGGTAAGAAGGGCTGCTATGTAAATCTGCTAATATTTGATGTATTCCTGGCTTTCCCAGCTCCTGTCCCAGGGAACTAATTGCTACCTAATGTAGTAGCTGCCCACCTCTTTATAACCACACTTTTCTTGTCACGACTGGAGGCAGGTGTCCTCAGCACACAAAGAGGAAATTGAGTTCTTCCAGTGATGTGTTCAGAGGCTCAAAACAGATCTTTTTCTTTGCCCATGGAAAAGGAATTATTTTAAGGCATAGTTGTTAAAAATATCCTAGAGTATTTTGCCAAAAGGTGACTCTTAGATTTCAGAATCTTTTCTTTCAGAGGAAAACAATTACAGGGTATGGTACCACAGATTAAATTCCTTTATCTGACTAGATATTTTCATTCTTCTTTTTTCTTCCACTGACGTAAATTCAGCCATTAAACCAACAGCAACTCTTTCACAGGAAAAAAACCTACCAAGTAATTTATATATTACAAAATTTTTGGCACTGAATTATGAAAGGCTTCTGGCAGTGTGTACCTCACCAGGGGTCT